ATGTTCTCTCTTGGTGTTTCATACTATGACCAGTTTGTCCTTACTATGAGATATTCTCAGAGAGGTTTTGGTAAGCATCCACTTGAGGTTTCATTGTTTTCTTCCAGCCATCCTGGCTTCATTAGATTTATCCTCACAAATCTTGCAAGCTGTGTCTCTCCCGTTAGAGGGCCTAGAGAGACGCTTGTACATGCACTGGGTTGTGTTACAGGAGAGGTACACTGAAGGCGGGGGATCCACCTCTTTTGTATCAAGCATAAGCAAGCCTGCTGTTTGTACCAAAGCAGACTCTAAAATGACTTGTTACAAACACAAACCTGAGAAATGCCAGAACCTTTCTTCTAAGTTTAAAAAATTGTATATCTTCCTTCCTTCCAGTTACCTTGACAAAATGCCATAGAAACCTTAAATTCAACATTTCCGAAACTGAACACGTTATTTTCTCTCATACTTGTTTCTTTCTCTGTGTTCTTATTCATCAAGGTGACTGAGTACTCATTCTCAGCATTTTCCTCTTCACTAGGTCACTAATTTTTTTTCTTTTAAGTTCCACATCTTAAATCTTTCTCCCATTCTGCAGTCTGCACCTAATTGATTTGGTATTGAGTCTCATTATCAAATAGTAATTGTGTTAGGTTCCAGCGTGGTATCCCTTACTTCAATTTTAGTTGACTCCAAAACAATGTTCTGAAGGGCAGAGTTGTTCATTTACCTCCTCTACTGAAAATTCTTCACTAGCTAAGCCTTCCAGAGACAACCGAAATTCTTTATTATGATATACCTAGTCTTCCAGCTTCATCCACTGACCTACTTTTCTTTCTTTCTTTCTTTCTTTCTTTCTTTCTTTCTTTCTTTCTTTCTTTCTTTCTTTCTTTCCTTTTTTTTATTTTTTTTTTGAGAGGTTTTTGCTACATGGCACGTGCACTCGTCAGAAAGAAAGAGAGAGACAGAAAGCGAGAAATCACCCCCCAGGGGGATGGCCATGCCACAATCCCTTCTCCTCCATTTTCCTCTCAGGATCTTGGGCACGCACGCACAGGCACCCAGCGTGAGTTTACTCTACTGCAGTTGACTACATGGGAGTCCAGCGACATTGCCATTACACCAACTGCTGGTCCCTCAATTGAACATTATCATAAGCACACATTAACATTATTTTTCTAAGGAAATTGTTAGTCAGTAAAATAAAATCCTCCTTTTGGCAGTGTGGCGATCCCTCCTCAGGGGTGATTTCTCACTTTCCATCTCTCTGTCTCTCTCTGCCTCTCTTCAGTGAGCACACACATCCTATGACCAAAACCTTTAAAAATGCTCCTTTTATTATACTTGGAAAAGGTTAAAGCCCAGGACATAAAGTAAATATCTGAAATGACTATCCTGTCTTCCAGCCTGAACAGAAATCCATATTAACTTTAGCTGTTTATCTTTCGCAGAAAATGTATGATTCAATCATTCACCCATCTCATTAACTCTTGACTTTGTCAGCAAATGTCTGAGCTCATATTAGGCCCAAGACAGGCTTAGGCTCTGGAGCACTTAGTCAGCAGTAACTCTTTTCAGTGGTCATAAATTGGTCCACTTCACTAATGATATTGGCTCAAGTCTCTAGCTAATATGTTTGGACACCCTTTCAAGTATAATGGGGAAGATATTTTTCCTTTTGGATATTTCTGAGGCTCACATATCATAAGAAACAAGTACTCCTTGGAGCTCTTTTAATCAGCTTCACTCAGTCCTGGTACAGGACTTCTGAAGAAGTCAAAAAACAATGAACTTGATCTCCATCATGGGCAGAACTTAGAGAAGTGCCCAGAGGCTGGAGCATCTACCACCCTAGTGTCCTTGGCATGCTGGACTATTATGGGAGCCATGGAGAGGAGCATGTCCATGAGCAGGCATGGTTGATGGCCATGTAAGAGCACATTATTTGTGGTCAGTACAACACAGACGACCGTACCCAGTTTAAACAAATAAGTCCACAGAATGGCGATTCTAGGACTCTTATCTTTCTATCCTAGTTTGCTCAACCCTAAATCATCATCAATGCAGGAGTCGTGGGTAGGCCATATTTTGCTCCTTATAGACATTGTAAGTTCCGTGGATTTGTTGGGTCCCTGCTCAAAGGCCCCCTTTCATTATGACTCCAGCTTTCCGCATGGGAGCAGGTGCCTACTAGCTCTTGGGTGGTCTCAGTCTATTCTGTCCGTGTTATTTCCTCCTGGTTCCTGACACGCTGCCTGCTCTCTCTATAGTCCAGTCCCCTCATTAAACCTGGATTCTCAACTGTGTGATGGCCCCAGGACACCACTCAGTCTTTACAATTAATGTGGGCTTATTATCTACTAAACTCTGCTGAGTAATTTCATTTGGCCCCAATTATCATCCAGGCTGTGAACAGATCACCCTCTCTTGGAGATATTATTTCCACTTAGCTCTGGGGTTCATTATTTGTATTTTTTTAATGATGCAATCATCATCCTAGTTAATGTTCTTCCATCCTCTGTCTTCCTAAACCTCTCTTGGGAGACTTTTACAGAGCCTCAGCCTGCACTCTGCTCAGCAATCTTACTCTCCCAGATGTAGAAGCCCAGTGCAATGTACCTGTGGGATTTAATTGTCATTACAGCAAACCACTAACAGAACTCAGCAGGCTCCTTGACCCCACCAACCCAGACAGATGAAGTGCACACACCATCCTTCTCTGCTCTAATTGAGATAGCCTCATCAGTAAACACCATAAGTAATTTTAAGAGGAATTCTTATTCCCTTCCCTGTAACTCTTTATTATGAAATATTGTAATCCTATGTAAACTTTTAGATTTGTTCTATTCTAAAGTTCATCATTATGTTTCCATCAATGCTGGCCCCCAAGATATCTTTTGAAGAACAAGAGTACCTTTTCTCTCTTACGTGTGGCCTGCTCCAGACTTACCTGAGACCATTTCCTAAACCCATTCTGATTCCTGTTACTAATGGAGTATTTCTATCATCAGCCTTGAGTCACAGTTGATACTTTTACTAATGGAGTATTTCTATCATCAGCCTTGTCTCACAGTTGATACCATCAAGTCAACCAAAGTCTTCCCTTTGATTTATCATGCATCACTGTGATTCCCAAAACTCCTTCCCTTACCTTTTCTCACTTCTCTGCTCCATCTTGACCATTAAGTCTTTAGCAGGAAAGTCTGACCTTAAGAACAAGGGGCCAAGGGAACCAGCAGTTAGCGTAATGGCTATGTCGCTGGACTCCCACATAGTCGACCGCGGTTCAAGGCCCAGACCCAGTGGCTTAAAACTCACGCCAGGCACGTGTGTGTGCATGCCCAAGATCCTGAGAGGAGAATGGAGGAGAAGGGATTGCGGCGTGACTATCCTCCCTGGGGGGTGATTTCTCGCTTTCTGTCTCTCTGTCTCTCTCTGTCTGGCGAGCGCACATGCCCTATAGCGAAAAAAAAAAAAAAAACTCAAAAAAAAGAAAGAACAAGGGGCTGACAGGTGGCATGGTGGTTAAGGGTGCTGGACTCCCACGAGGCTGACTGTGGTTCGAGTCCTCTGCAGACCTGGTGGCTTGCTTTCTCACTTTCCTTCTCTCTCTCCCCCCCTCCCTCTCTCTCTCTCTCTCTCTCTCTCTCACTCACTCTGTCTCTCTCATCAAATTAAAATAAATAGGTAAATAAAGTTAAATAAAATAATTTTTTAAAAATCACCCAACTACTCACTATTACCAACCACAATGTCTCAGTAGAGAGCCTTGTTTCCTGGGAATTTCTACTTACTCCTGATTTACAAAGTAGAAACTCACAAGCGAAACTGTGATCAGAGATCTATTGGATTGCATGCAACAAGTTAATTTTTTTTTATTTGTACAGTTCTTCATTTTTTATTTGAATGCCTAAGGTGGAGTTTTGTGTTCTGTGTGCTTAACATTTTCCCAACTATTTCTATATTCTTTTATCAGGCCTGTTTTGCTAATTTATGTTAACTAGCTAGATATCTATCCTATAAGTTCTACTTCTGATAACACCTGCTCAACCATTTTTCCAGACTTTCTAAGTTATTTGTCTATATGGCTCTCTCTACCTGTCTTTTGTCATTCCTGTCAATTCCCCATCTTCTAATATAAATAGCATTCTAATAGTATCCTTGCTCAATATCTAGTCCTTCTTTGAGAGCTATCTATCAATAAACAACGTCTCTCCAACAAGATTCAACATACCTGATGTTTCTACTATCTCATGTACGCAGATCATGCAATCTAACTTTCCATTGAACTTTTCTCCATTTTTAGTCTATTATCAAGTCTGGGAGTTTATGAGTTAAAGCTTTATCTCTGCTTTTAAATTTAAAAGGACCATATAAGAGACTAAAAATAGTCTAGCCTCAGTGTTTCATGTGTTATTGGCTTGTACAATTCTTCATTTTTAACTTCCAAAGTGAAGAATTTACCAACCTTTGCTTTATCTACCTTTTGCAGTTGTGAGTGAGCATCTATACCTATTCAACTCAAACACTTCTAACAACAACTCTATCTCTTTTTCTCAATAGGCCCTATTTCCTACATATGCATACAAATTTTTAGCATAATATTATAAATCAGTCTGTTGTATGCTTTCCCAGAAAAGTTTTCATATTTGAAATAAAGTATGTTAAAGTAGCTAGAGTCAAGCAATTTTAGCAAAGAGAATTTAATCAAAACATGAACAAAAATCTAAGATAATCTGTGCCAAATTTACCACTTGTGCAGTTACTTCGCTTGCTGAGATCAATAGTTAATAGCCTACATTTTAAAACTATTCTACATTTTAAAATTATTCTACTGTTGCATCAATAGATCAATTATATATAAGATTTGACCCTCAGCAATAAATGAAAGTGATAGCTTCTTTTATAGCATTTTAGAGATCTGGCATTTTTGCTTTTTTGTTGTTTGTTTGTTTGTTTGTTTAAGACACATAGAAGCTATATAAACAATGTATGGTTTTTGATTTTTAACTTTCCAGGAAATCAACGTGTTGACAGTTGCCTTGGTCAACCAAGATCGAGAGAACAATATTGAGAAAAGAAGCCAAGGCTTAAAATCAGAGAAAGAAGCTCTGCTAATAGGTAAGAAAATTCTGTTTTCTTCACCATTCCCTTAAATAATTTCTAGGTAATTAGCTTAAATAATATTTTAGTAATTCACCTACAACTTGTTAACAATTTAAATAGCTTCACTTTTGGTCAGGCGAGATTAATTTTGCGAAGATTGAATTACATACATTTCAAGTTGGTGGCATGTAAATTAATGGGGGGTTTGCTGTTCTGTGACCCTATATATTAATTCGTTGTCAGATATGAAACTGAGTTGAAGAACAAGATTAGGTTGCATTCTACACATCACAAATCTGAATTTTAAAGTTTGGACATGTCACTTTCAGCTGGAAGCCAGGTTGGTTCTAGTTACAAAGTTTCAGACCAAGCCAGATCCTCAGGTTCAGGTTCAGGAGTAGCTTTGAACCCTGAGAGTAATCTCTGAGCTCTTTAACAGAGATTATATCCTTATGTTAGTCCCAAAGCCAGACCTGTAATGCTGATGAAATAGGGACCTCCAGACGTAGTGTTAGGCTAGCCCAGGACAGACTAATCCAGGCTTCCCTGTCCCTATTTGGATCCATTTATCCAAGATGAACAAAAGGAGCTGGCCATTAAGGAAGGAGAGAAGAAAGGAAATCAGCCAATCGTACTGGTGCCACAGTAGCACACCCCTCTGCAGTGCTAGAGGGTTACAGAAGATTAGGGTTAGTTTCCTGGTCACCCTGTACATGCCAGGTATGTGTTTGCCCATGATCTTGAGTGACTTGGGAAGGCTGGGAGGAGAGGATTGCGTGAGAGCCTGATGAGGGTGCCTGTCTCCCTTTCTCTCTCTCCTCTGCCTAAATGTCTCTCTCATGAAAGAAAGAAACTATTATTAAAAGAAAAGGAAGGAAATTGTTGTTCCCATAAAAACATTCCATTGTCCCATAAAATATTAGGTTGCTAGGCAAGTAATAATGTATCTTTCTATGCAAAAATGTGTCATGACTTTCCCAATGACGTAATACATTTAGGTTAGCTCTCTCTTTGGACCAGACGCAAAGTTCTTTTGAAAGTCATCACTGGTAGTTCCAGAAGGTAGTACTTAGTCTCACAAGGAAGAGTTGTTTTTTTTTGTTTTGGGGGGTTTAGGGGGACTGTTTGTTTCCCCTGAGGATGTATTGGTAATGTACCTGGGGCCCTGACCTAGAAACCTATATATTTTTTTTCCTTTTTTTAAGAGAGGAATTTTTGTTTTAGGGCATGTGTGCTTGCCAGAGAGACAGAAAGTAAGAAATAACCCCCCCATGGAGGAAGGCCATGCTGCAATCCCTTCTCCTCCATTCTCCTCTTGGGATTTGGCGCACACACATACACACAAGCACACGTGCCTGGCATGACTGTTAAGCTGCCAGGTACAGTACTCAAACAGCAGTCGAGTATGTGGGAGTCCAGCAACATAACCATTACGCCATCTGCTGGTCCCAGAAACCTGTATGTTTAAGGCTATCTCCAAAGCCCTCAAATTCA